AGGGTTGGACAGTGAATAGGGATGATAGAAAGAGAATTGATGCCTTTGAGTTGTGGTGCTGGAGAAGAGTGTTGAATATACCATGGACTGCCAGGAGAACAAACAGGTTTGTCCTGGAGAGGGTGAAGCCAGAATGTTCTCTGGAGTCAAGGATTCTGAAGCTTCGTCTGACATAATTTGGGCATGCTGCAAGGAGGGACTGGTCCTTGGAGAGGGACATCATGTTTGGGAAAGTGGAGGGACGGCGCAGGAGAGGAAGACCATCAATGAGATGGATCGATTCTGTGAGTGGAGTGGTGGGAATGAATGTGTTTGAGACAGCAAGATTGGCACAGGATAGAACAGCGTTTAGGGCTCTTGTACATAGGGTCGCTATGAGTCGCAAATGACTCGATGGCACATAACAACAACATTGACAGAAAAATGGACAATCTCCTCCTGTGAGGATTTACAGTCTCAGAAACTCTATGGATGATCTCTGTGAATTGAAATTGGCTCAGCAGCTTTTCAAAGGCTGTGGTTTGAAGGTTTGTATGCATGTGTTGTTGTTATTCTTTACCACTGAATCTGAATTGACTCATAACTAACCCTCCAATGAGTTTTCATAGGTTATTCATTGCAGGAAAGGAGATTCCCTATCTTTATTCTGCGCTAAGCACCAGGTGGATTTGAACTGCATGCCTTTGAGTTGGCAGAGCAACTCCTTACCGTTATATGTAAGGTGACAAGACAAGAGAGGTCTCTTACTGCTACTTTATCATTTTATTGTTGTTTTTATATTCCATCAAGTGGGAATCAATTCATACCTGACACACCAGCAGGTTCTCAGAGGAAGTAAATAGCACAGAAAAAGATTGCCTCGCTTTCTCCCACAGAGCTGCTGGTGGATTCAAGTTGTATGGCTTTGGGTTGGCAGTACAACTCCTTACCATTAAGCTAATAGAGCTCCCTTAACATATAACAGCTTGTGTACTGACATGTTCTTCAATTCTTCTGTGATAAAGTAACTCCTCTTCTCTGAAGCCTTCATTTTCTCCTCAGTGAATTCAGTCATCGGTTTACCATGACATAAGATACTGTATCCTTATGGCACTTGTGATTGTTATAGGATGCTTATTTGGAAGTGTTTAAGTATATTATGGATTGAAGCTCAATATCAACAAAACAAAGGTTCTTTTCACTGGGCCAATTGGCAGCAACATGGTAGATGAAGAAGAGATTGAGATTGTTAACAATTTTAGCTTGCTTGGTTTCACAATCAACTATCTTGGCACTAGCACTCAGAAAATCAAAAGACAAACCACATTAAGACAATTTGTTAACAAACAAATGGACAGAGAAGCTGTGGTGTATTCATACCATGGAATAAACACTATACTACATTGAAAACCAAGGAACTCAGGAAATATTATACAAAATAGGTGACCCTGGAGGATATTATGCTGAGTGAAATATCTCAGTCACAAAAGGACAAATATTGTGTAGTACCACTGTTATAAAATGGAACTGACATCAAGGTTGAGGGGAGACAGAGGAAGATGGAATAAATTATATATCCTGCATTGAAACAGATGAGGGAGAGAACTGTTTAAAGGGGATATGTGATTAGGTATTATTGTCATGACAGGAGTCCAGAACAAAGGCTGCATAGTGGAGTGGACTTGGAGGGAGAGATTGTATA